TCTGAACGATTATATTTCGCATCCTGTATTAATTATGCTTCCGTGGACTCATGTACCTTTGCAGGCAGTATTAATAAACTAGTAGATTGGTTTATGTCTGTCCGGTCCCCAATAGTTTTTGCCTGCATTTAATCGATTAGCAACGAAAACTAATTTTAGATCAATCCTATTGGATAATTAATTATTATCCAATAGGATTCTACTTATTTCCTGCTGCCGGTGGTGTAGATGCGCAAGTTACAGGATCACATATTTTAATTGATTTCATAATACCCACTTTGGGCCCATATGTATGATTAGAAGAGAAAGTAATAATTAAGCTAATGTGGGTGGTCTTCCTGAACTCGCCTCTACTTAAGTTAGTACTTTCGTTACCTACCAAGACATCAGGAAAAGGTAATTTATCGTTCATCTCCAACTCTATAGCAAATTTAGTCATTCTACCCAACCAATTCATTGCCGCAATAAACTCATCTAATTTGTCCTTGCCGTATTTTCAAACAACAAAGTAGTCATTCATATATCTAATGGCCTTGGAACTAGAACAGTTTCTTGAATTAAACCATCTTCTAGTTAAGCTATTTAGTTATTAGCTAAATTTGAAGCTAAACACGATCCCATGGCTAAACCTGGCGTTTGAAAGGCTAAATTAACTCGGGGCCTGGTTTGCAAAATTTATCAATGAACTTAAAAGCATTGCAAAAACACAACTTAGTGTAGCCGCAAATGTTAACATCGCAGGACCACACTCTAGGTTATTCATGTAAGAAAACGGCTGTGGCCATAGATAAATATTAATATATCAATTCCACTTATCTGCAAGCAGTGAAGTGGATCACCAAATGGTGAGATATATCAGTAAGATCACAAAATCAGATATAAGGATTCTGGCTTTTAAGAAGCATTTTAAATGACGGAAAACGGACTCATCAGGGTAGCGGGATGGAGCCGTGTGCAGATAAGATCATAATTCCAAGGCAATCATCATTCGGTGAGATGAATTTAAGAAACCCAAACACCCACATCTTCAAATAAATGAAGAATGAAGATGTAGGGTGGGGCTACAACTCTTATTCTAGATCCACCGACGTACTCGAAAACCTATTCATTATGAACGTGCAATTGTCAAGGGATTCTTCAAAATCCAAAAACTTTTCATATCCACAAAATTTAATTGATAATGAAGATCAGGAATTAGACACTTTGTATGATCCTGTTTAATAACGACTCCAAGCAAGCTATCAAAAGTATAATAGGTACGAACTTGATATAGATCAATTAGTGACACAAGACTATTTAATAAATTAGCCTGAATAGCTGTTTCCAAAATAGAAGGCTAGAATCATTCGGAGAAAACGAACTAGGGCCAAATAAATAATGAGAATAGCCCTGATTTCCATTTCTACACAACCAATTTTAAAAAGCTCAACGGTAAAGAATTTGAGTAATCTACGTACTAGCGTAATATCGAAGGGCAAATCTGCAAAACCTAAGCATAAAAATGTCAAAAGATAATTAGGCCGAGATAGGTCCACACAAATTAAAAGGATCATTAAGCAACGAGTGTTTAGCCTATTAGTTAATCACAATTTTTGTATGAATGCGAAAATTCGTCTCATCTATGAGACCTAGGGAATACCAAAAGCTTGGACAATTCTTGACGAGATTGTTCATACTAACCAAAGGTAGAACGTCAAGCATTTTTAAGTTACTAAAGGCAGATAAGCTATCAGACCATATATATTTAAGCGAATGGCATACCTTGCCTCATATAATTAGGTAACCTAAATAAATAAAACTACACATTTTTTTAAATGGTCACCTGATAAGGCCGAATTAGATCATTAAAAGTCTGAATGTTCTGAAACGTTTATTACGGCTCACATTGGCTTGCTGCTCAAGCATCGTAAGCAACTTGGTTTTTTGTAATTATAAGTAGAAAATTAGCGTTCATCAAACCCGTCGATATGATAACTGCTGCCAATAGGGCGCGCAAGGCAAATAGAGATAAGCTGACTGGATGAATGAGTCTAAACGAACAAGTTGAGAATAAAAATGGATGTGCAAGGAAGGGATGGTCGAGGCAGGAGAACCAAATAGCCCAAAATAGAGCATAGTGAGGTAATCATGAAATATTAACAAGTTTCAGGATGGAGGATAGGAGGGGTAAGAGGTGGGAATATGATGCAGAATAGAGGGCCCAAAAAAATACAGCGTGGAAAAGTGATACACATATACAATGCTGCATGATCAAGGGGCAGGAAGGGAAGGAGTTTAAATGACCGAAAGATCCAGGGCGGTGAGGAGGCTGGCGATGTTTTACACGAATAAACAGTAGGATCACCATGACCAGGGGGCAAGATGGGAATGAAGGAGTGGATTGACATGCCTCTAGGTACCAGGCCTCAAGAATGCAGAGTAGCAATTATACCTGCTCTAGCCTCAAACTGGCTGAGTGCTTCAGACAAGAGATGGCGTGTCTCGTTCTCAGGTAGACGCTGCTCGGCCCCATTAGCCAATCTTTCGATACCCACAGCTAGTGCGGCTGAATCATCGTCATCGCCATGGCTTGAGACTCCAGCCGCTGAGAGCTCCTCTGCACTCGGAACAGAAGATGACAACTTGCGAGCTGACCGGCGCTGTACGCGTTTGTAACCGCGCTCTGCAGCCCGTGCCAATGCCTCTTCGTCGTACTCCTCCTGTTCATCATCTCCTTCCGCAGTGGCTCCTTCGGCCAAACCGCGATCGGCGTTTCCGCCACTGGCGATAGCAGACACAGCATTTGAATCAAGGATAGCGGAGCCACCAGCGGCAACCACGTCTTTTTCGAGTTGTAGTTTCTGAT